TGGGGGAGGGGTGTGGGAACAGTGAGGGCAGACTGGGAGGGGACTTCATGGGTACTGAGAGGTACCAGGTGATACTGGGAGGCACTGGGGGGTACTGGCAGGGGTAGGATGTGGGGTTAGGAAGCACCAGAAGGGTACTGGTGGTGCCAGGTAGGTGCTGGGATGCACTCAGAGGGTACTGGGTAGTCTATGGGGGGACTGGGAAGCACTGGAAATGTACTGGCAGGGTACTGGGTACTAGGTGGGTACTGGGAGGGTATTGGGATGCACTGGGTAGTACTGAGGGGGTACGAGGTGGCATTGGGCCGCCCTGGGAAGAATGGGGTAAGTGGGCACTGGGGGGAACCACCCAGAAGTGGGGGCCCCCTGGCTGAGACCCCGAGGGCAGGGGCAACATGGGGGCAGTAACAGCCCTTGCACTCATGTGCCCGCAGGTGCCAGCCAGCTCTCTGCCCCAGGCTGCCCCGGACCACGCCAGGCCCCCGGCGCCCCAGCTTGGGGCAGCACCGTGGGAGGGGGCCGGGGGCAGCTTGGGGGGCTGGGGCAGCCTGGAGGGGCTGCTGGCGGGGCAGGGGGAGGAGGAGGACTGGGGGGGCAAAGGCATCGAGTCCACGCTCCTGTGAGCTCGCCCAGGGGTCGGCCCCTCTTCCCCCTCTGGTACAGACGGGGCAGCTGCCTGCCTGAATACCACCCCCCCCCAGTGAAGGGGCATCTGGGGCTCCTACCTGCCCCCCGGCACGGTCAGAGCCAGCAATAAAGGATTCAAGCCCAGGATGGAGTGGGGCTGAGGTCACTGCCGGGATGCGGCTGAGTCTGGGGTGGGGGGACCCGGACCCCCGCTCTTCCCCTGGACCTGCAAGGTCTGCGATGGGCTCTTGGGCTCCAGCCACAGCTCCCTGCCTCAGTTTCCCCAGGGCCATAGCACTGCCTGGGGTCCTGGGCTCCCCGCCGGCTTCACGGGCTACAAGGCCCAGGGGCCACCTCCATCCTGGAGCCTTCGGCCTCGAGCCCAGCGCCCTCCCCTTCGGCGCGGGGCCGTGCCCCCCCCCGCACAGCGCCGCTGCTTCGCTGGCTCCCGGGGCAGGCGCCTTGGGGCCGCAGTATGGCACCGGGTGGCCATATTGGGCCCTGGGCTTATTGCCACGGTGCTAGGCGGCCATATTGGCATAGGTCAGCCATCTTGGGCCCCGTGCTATGGTGCCGGGCAGCCCCATTAGACCCTCTGGGGCTTGTTGCCATGGCACAGGGCAGCCCTACTGCCCCCTGGGTTTTTTGCCACGGTGCCAGGCAGCCATATTGGACCCTCAGTGCTGCGGCACCTGGTGGCCTTCGGGGCCCATGGCATTGGTCAGGCATATGGGGCCCTGTGGGGCTGGTTGCCATGGCACCAGGAAACCCTGTGGAGTGTGTTGCTATGGTGCAGGGCAGCCCTCTTGGCCCCTGGGTTTGTTGCCATGGTGCCAGGCAGCCTGTTGGGCCCCCATGGGGCTTGTTGCCATGGTGCCAGGCACCCACCTTGGACCCTGTGGGGCTTGTTACCATGGCGATGGCAGCCCTAGTGGGCCCTGCGGGTCCGGTTGCTATGGCACAGGGGCCCCTGGGGCTACAGGAGCAGGACCCTGGGCGCCACACGCCCGGCTCAGCCCCTCCAGCGTCCCGTGCCTCGGTTTTCCCAGCTGGCGCCCCGGAAGGAGCCAAACCAGGGCCCGGGCTGGGGCTGAAAACCAAAGCAGCGTCTTTAATCCTCAGTCCAGGCATCAGGGTGGGGGTCCATGCACCCACGAGAGGGGGGCGGCAGCCCACAGTCTAGAGAGATTTGGCGAGGCGGGAGCCTGGGCCCCTGCCCTCGCGGCGGCGGCGGCGGTCAGTCCTGGGGCTCGTCCAGGCGCCACTTGAGGGCCTCCTCCTTGCGGGCGTCGGGGCGGATCTGGTTCCTCATGCCCCCCAGCAGGTTGGACGTGGCCTCCGTGGCCACGATGAGGGGCCGCACCACGGGGGGCGGGGGG